GGAGATTATCACCCAAGATTTGACGGTACATGGCCCCGTCCATCGTCCCTTTGGTGCGGTGAAGTTGTCCTGTCCCCTTAGTAGAAAAAACACCCCCAAAGCATAATGTTTCCACCTCCATGTTTGACGGTGGGGATGGTGTTCTTGGGGTCATAGACAGCATTCCTCCTCCTCCAAACACGGCGAGTTGAGTTGATGCCAAAGAGCTCCATTTTGGTCTCATCTGACTACAACACTTTCACCCAGTTGTCCTCTGAATCATTCAGATGTTCATTGGCAAACTTCAGACGGACATGTATATGTGCTTTCTTGAGCAGGGGAACCTTGTGGGCGCTGCAGGATTTCAGTCCTTCACGGCGTAGTGTGTTACCAATTGTTTCCTTGGTGGCTATGGTCCCAGCTGCCTTGAGATCATTGAGAAGATCATCCCGTGTAGTTCTGGGCTGATTCCTCACCGTTATCATGATCATTGCAACTCCACGAGGTGAGATCTTGCATGGAGCTCCAGGCCGAGAAACATTGACAGTTCTTTTGTGTTTCTTCCATTTGCGAATAATCGCACCAACTGTTGTCACCTCATCAAGCTGCTTGGCAATGGTCTTGTAGCCCATTCCAGCCTTGTGTAGGTCTACAATCTTGTCCCTGACATCCTTGGAGAGCTCTTTGGTCTTGGCCATGGTGGAGAGTTTGGAACCTGATTGATTGATTGATTGCTTCTGTGGACAGGTGTCTTTTATACAGGTAACAAACTGAGATTAGGAGCACTCCCTTTAAGAGTGCGCTCCTAATCTCAGCTCGTTACCTGTATAAAAGACACCTGGGAGCCAGAAATCTTTCTGATTGAGAGGGGGTCAAATACTTATTTCCCTCATTAAAATGAAAATCAATTTATACCATTTTTGACATGCGTTTTTCTGGATTTTTTTGTTGTTATTCTGTCTCTCACTGTTAAAATAAACCTACCATTAAAATTATAGACTGATAATTTCTTTGTCAGTGGGCAAACGTACAAAATCAGCAGGGGAACAAATACTTTTTTCCCTCACTGTAAAAGGGTAAAACACCAATTATCATATTTTGCTACTGGCAAAGGAGGTTCCAATGGTGAGGCTCAGGACTGGTCACGCCCCATGCCTCGCCAACCTCCACCAATGGGGCATAAGAACAAGCCCCCTATGCGGCTGTCGGATGGAGCAAACCTTGCAAGCAACATCCAAAAAGTTTCCATAATAAATGTTTTGGGTTAGATCGCGTATGTGTCGTAACCCTCGACCACCCGACAAAGCCGGTAAGGTTTGACACGTAAACAAAACACGCCGATTAGTTTACCACTTCAGCCCACCGGTGTGTTGGACAGTAAATCCTCCATGCTGTGGATTTACTCAATTACCTCCCACTTTCTATAACTTTTTGATTCAGGCCTTCTGTAAGGCTCTCATAATTTGGTTGACGGACAAATGGACAAACGGAACGCCGTGCTTTTAAAACAGCTTAGTATTTGTGAACATATATGTTATGTTTTTTTAAGAGGAGACACGTTTTGAAATATATTTTCCACCGGGCGAAGCCGGGTACTTCCTGCTAGTGAATACTATTGGTCGCGAAAGCCTACGTGTTAAACCGATCCTAGAAGTCTGCCGAATCCACTAACTGGGCAAGGTCCTACTCACCCTCAACACAGCAGGAGCGGAAGCAATGCTTGGCTTAGATAGAAAATACTGATTGGGTTTTTTTGCATTTGCACAAGTCGCGTGTGTGTGTGTTTTATAGACATTCCTGAGTTGTTTGAAACTTGATTTAATGGTTCGCACACCTTACTTGCAAACCAGAAGTTGGCGGTTCGATTTGATCTCCCAGCGTCAGCAGTTTAAGAAGCGCTGAAAAGAAATCCAACTTTAGTGGGAGGGGGGGGTTACTTAACCACCAATTATACCGACCATGCCAGCAGAAATCTATACAGAGCACACACTAATTGGAACTTAACGACATTGAAAATGTGGTTATTAATTAATTCACCAAAAGTTTAACACTGCATACAGAAATAAATCATAAACCTCCGAGTTGTGATTGCTATGTAAAGGATTTACAGACAATGAATCTGTATGCTGCCGTGGTGTGACGGTCACCACACCGGACTCGCAATCCAGTGGCCGTTGGCTCAACTCGATCTCCAGGTGAGGCAGTTGAAACTACGGTGTAAGTTTCTTAAATCCCCCCGACTGTGTATCCGGAAGTCTAAATCGCTACACCAGCTAGTGGAGTAAAGTGTGATGATCGTTATCACTTCTATACATCTGGCCAACATGGACGAGTACCCTCTGGAGCATGAGCTCCCTCTTGTGGAGGCTCTTCCGCCAGCAGTGGCGTGAGAAAGCAATAGCAGGGCTGCGCCTTTGCCTTGTACACATGCTGTGCATGCGGTGTCTATACGGTACGTACGTGGGGAGCGGTGCTTCATTGGTTAGCGCGTTCCGCTACGATCCCCGACGATCCGGGTTCGATTCCCGCTCACGGCCAACGCCAATAACGATTATTTGAACCCGTACTGGGCCTCCCCTAGGTCGACTCGGCCTCAAAGGAGTACCGAGTGCGGTGTGTAAAAACATCGCCACCGGCGAAACAAAGGCGGATGGGCGTGGTTGCTGGCCACCCACACCCCGTCGTGTGCCAACATTCAAAGGTCCTCGCTAAACAGCACTTGCCCCAACAGCCCTGAGTAGGCTATACGGACGGTGGGGGGACCTCTGCCTTTGCTGTGTGAATCTATAGCAGCAGCAGCAAAGTGAGCTGCACAGTCGGTGGCAAATTAGTGGTGCGAGTCACCGCGGAGGCTCCGCGATGCCGAAACCCAACACAATGGGGGCCGGGTGCTCCACCTGCTCGCGGGCCAATTCGCTGACACGGCAAGGGCCACTCGCTGGGAGATTTATTCCGCAAAGTCCCGGTACTTATTTGAAAGAAAAAAATCCCCCCACATACGCACACACACACATGTACACATTCCTAGCCAGCGTCTCGCTCCTCTCCATGGCAATGGTGCCAAACGAGGACTTAAAATTGCCAGAGGAACACGAGCGTTGTGTGCTTTTTTTATTAGTATTTCCACACGGTTTAATTTCAAGGTAGTCTAAGCTCGGAGAAAAGCCACGGTTATAATTCCAGCTTGCGACAGGTCCTAACAGAAGCAGCGACGGACATCGACGGGCAATGATCCGTGCTGGGTTTTTTGTTTTGTTTGTTTCTTGTTTGGTGTGGTTTTATTCCGTTTTACGCCAGATAAAGGCTTCTGGGTGTTTTTTTTTCACAATTTATTGGAGCGAACCTTTGAGAAATGTCCCTGGCAGAGTTGAGCAGTATGGCGATCGGCGTCAATGACGGCGAAAGAGCCAGAAAAGGAGACGGCCTAACGACGACAGTACAGAAGCACGCGTGCACACGAAACGTTTTCGCTCCAACATTCTTCCCGAACGCGCTTTAGCCGTTGTTTTACATCAACATAGCATAGGCCGCGATGCACAGAGGACACAGGGGGAGGATTTATACCCAACTTGGTAATGTTTCCAGCGATCAAGCTAATTGAACCCTATGGCGGGACCCCGGGGTCCCCTAAGCCCCCAGCTCTTGCATAAACATTACATTACAATGTAAACAAACACTTCGCTCTTTTTCACCAATGGGTTTGAAGGATGGTGGCAAGTGTTGTCTTGTTAAACTATGCCTTTAAAACTGAAAACTGCTTACCTGCAGTACCTCTATTTAAATACACTATCGAAAAAATAAATTACACCCCTGTCAATCATCGTGTTTCTCAGTGTGGATTTGTGAGCACACTTTGTAAACAGTACATAAAATAGTACGCGTTTTCAATGCGCTGTTCACATTGTAACAAGCGTTTATAACAATGTTACTCTACAGAGTAGTGGGTCGCCGCTCCTCTTATCCACATTGATACGAGTGGTATGTGGGGAATATGGCTTAACCGCAATAAAAAACCTATCTGCACAGATGCATATGGACAAGTATTATCAAACAGGAGGAATTAACGGGACAACGCATCTCATCTGTTAAATATCTGCAGGTATTAGGATTGTTCATCGATTGATCCTGGCTGCAGACATTGGTAGGTCACAAATAATAATGAAGATAAGAGAGCAGTTTCGCCGTCTTATGCATACCGTTGACAAATAATGGACTTAAGTCGTGTAGGCAGTTTGAGCAGCTTTGGAGCATGGAGTGCATTCGCTTGTTCAGCTCTTTGCTCATTCGTCCTCGCTGCTGCGCTTGGACGACATGACAACATAATGATCCGCGCCAGGTGGGTCGTGGCGTTTATGTGCGCGGTGGGACGGAGTCGCCAAAAATAAATTACGATTGACTTGTTTATTACATGTTTTTGCTGTTCCGAGTGCTGTTAACGTAAGCCCATGTTCAAGATCACAAAGAACGCCGTCTCTGAGACAACTGCCACTGGCCACCGCTGCAAAATTAAAAGTGGGGATGGCCCACCAGAAAACTCTCACCGCCCACAGCGGAGCCTTTCCTTCTGAGGCACGTGGAAACCTTCATACGTAAGCGTTGGTGTAAAACTCCGATGTGGTTTTTGGGTCGTGCCGTGCCTTGTTGTTCGGCACGACGTCCGATGTTTCGCTCCACGTGCTGGAAGATTCTTGGGGAATTGAATCAGATTAAGGAACTGATTCGTTTGAAGGAAATTAATCGCTTCCAGGACCTTAAGAGCTGAAAGCCATTCACATTACAACCAGAACCAAACATAGCAACAACTTGAAAACACAGCACAACTATGAAAAACCAATACAGCGGTGGAATTAATCCTGCACTCATGTTTCGACTCGCGCTCAACTAAACCAAAAGCTTTACTCGTGAAAATCTGAAGCGCTTGGAACTTGTGCAAGTGAAATATTAATTAAATAACAGCGACTTACCCGTGCAACATAACTTAAGGGGATTAAACAACAGATGCATTGCGCAACAATGTTGAACGCGTTTCACCAATTTATTTCATTTCGTAGAATGGGAATTCTAGAAGCGGCAGGAAGGCAGTGTCATGGAGGCCTTGGGAAAACAAACAGGATTGTAAATGAGATAGAAACGCTTGAGTAGGTGGAGTCTACCAAACAATCCCAAGAGTGCAGGCAGACCGATGCTCATTAACGGTTGGTGGTGATGATGGTGGCGGTGGTCGTGGTGATGACGGTAATGGTGGTGGTTATTAAAATTTATTGTAAATTGCATGTTATTTGAGCAAACATGAATATAAGAGAGGCCCTTGAATGCCTTCTTATAGGAATAATAAATAACATTGTGAAATACGTATTAGTTCAGACTTGCAGTAAGCACTGAAGGGGAAAGAATAATTCTAAAGGCTTATTATTGAACTACTAAGAATAATAAATAACATTCTGTTACATTTTCGTTAAAATGTTGTGCTTAAGGCAAACGTTCATGGAAAACTGGCACTTTTAGCAGATAAGTTTTGTAATCATAATTATTATACCGTTCTGAATTGCACATTGAGTGTGAACTTGCAGAAGCTATATAATATATAGGTACTTAAAATATTTATTATTGAAATTATTATAAATGACAACGCAACTTAGGCATTTAGTCTGCACTTGCAGAAAACACGAACAGAAGTGGCATTGTATTGTTGAAATAACAAAAGGAACATTCGTAATTACATATTTATGGACTTGAAGCTAACGTAGAACAGAAAGACAAGAGGCATGTTAGCAGTGTTGTGTGTATGTATGTTGAACTTTTTTCGCACCGTACGTAGCCAACCGTGCTAATCGGACGTGCGGGTAAAGGACAACAAACTAAAAAGAAAAAAAACTGTTCCAAAAGACGTGAGTTTCCAATCGAGATTTACTGCCCTGTCTCCTGCACGGGCTCGCAAGCTTCCAAGCGGGCGCGAGCGGTAGCTTTTTCACGGGTGACAGTGCTTGTCCAGGTGAGTGAAACCCCTGCTGCAAATGACAACTTTCAATGTGGGAATCGTCATAAACCGGGTCAGAACACAGCAGCGGCAGTCGCATCAGCAGCAAATGCTGTTTATAATGCACAGCGTGCTTCTGATGCAAGGACAGATCGGATGCTCGTAACGCATTTCAGTTGACCAACTCCCCGTGTGACCACAGTCTCCCGACTCTCTCGGAGGGCCATCTCACATGGCCTGTAGCTGATACACTTTAGACCCCTTGTGCAGCAGGAAGCCCTGTGTGTTCAAGGAGCTGATGAAGCCCTCAAAGTCGGCCACCTGTAACAACAACAGCAGCAGCAACACCACGCGAGCGGAGCGGGTCAGGAGGCACGGCATTCAAATAATCAAACGGTGATCTTCTGGAGAAAGACGGTTTTCTGTTTATAAGTTGGTGACCCCACCCCCCCCACCACTGGGTTAGCATTAGATTCAGCCACTCACAATCACCTATATACAACGCACATGTTACATTCCATCCACTTTCCATCTACCTTACCATTACACTCCACAGGAGGCAACATTACTCAATGATGATTAGGATTGTATTTTTTTACGTGCTTAACACAAAACCTACAAAGTCGGGTAGCACTTTAGGCTGACCTTGCCTACATTGTATTATTTTATTATCAGGATGATGTCTCTCGCTGGGGTGTATTCTCTGGTCCAGGTGTTCCAAGCACCCTCCTTTTTCCATGTGTATTTGCGAACTAGTCATCGTTTGTTCTATTTGCTTGGTCAAATAATATAAAGTTGTATTTGTATATATTTGTTGTGATTTGTTTACCTTTACTATACGCTGCACTACTATCGTGTTTTGGTATTGATTGTTGTTGTAATGTTCTGACCTGCACCCGACTGGACATCTGTGAAAAAGAGATTTATCGCTCATCCGATTTCTCCAGTAAAAAGTAATATTCTGATTTCTGATCCACGTGTGAATAGTTGATAATATGCACTTATTAAGCCAGTTAATTGACACACATGGGTGTAATGGTGAGGCAGACTCAAGGACTGAGCAATAAACTGTTGCTATTTAAAAGTTAATATCGGGGTAGGTGCATACGCAAACAAAGATCCCCCAGTCAGTCTCATAGCATCCAAGGGCATGGGGCATGAGGAAGTGGTGTGCGTAACACCACCTTTGTTATCTGCAGTCTTTGCACAAGGAATAATTTTAAGAATTGGTTGACCTAGGGGAGAGGCCTAGGTTCAGCTATTACTCGTCCCTGATGTTTGCCAGAGGATAGCTGATGTTAGTTTGCCAGAGATAACATCAATTGATAGAGATAATGTCAGTTATCCTTGGCCATGCATAACATCAGTTTGAAGGTTAGTAAATGAAAGACAGTACCAACTCCCCAACATCAACAACCACCATTCAGGCGGTGACTTCACCACGGGCGCTTGTGCCATGCTAGGTGTAACTCCCCGCAACACATATATTCTTAGCTCTTTCGGTAAAGTCACGTTGAAGGGAAACAATGAAATAATAATATATATAACAATAAAAATTCTCACGACGTTTCGACCATAACACAAACGGTCGTCATCAGGTGTGTCGGTTTGCATAAATTTATTTATTTTTAAACGGTGTATTTATTTTTTTATAAAAAACGTCAGCACCACGCGCAGCGATTTGGCAGTTTGTTTAGAAGGACGAGTCCATCTATGTTCAGAAAAGAGGAGGGGGGAGACGAAAAATTAATGTATGCTGTCTGAAAGCCACTGTAAGCGTGAACAATCAATTAAGACCTGAAATGGTTTATCAAATCTTTCCAATGATTGCTAAGGGTTATTGTTTCCCTTCAACGTGACTTTACCGAAAGAGCTAAGAATATGAATTACTGCAGTCACGAAAGCTTTAAATCAAAAACATATATACTCAACAAAGATCCCCATATCGTCTTTAACAGAGTGGTGGGACAAGTCCTATAAGCGAGCACATATTAAGGCCGGCACGGGATGTGAGGGGGTTGTATGGCTGACACCGCACCAGGCCAAACTCGTCTCCCCAGTGCTGATATATACACACAGCACCAGGTGCTCATTTAAGAGTGAGTCGACCTCGTGGAGGCCCGGGCTTAGTTCGGATATTTGTCACCGATGTTGACCGGATAAGCGGTTATCAAACTTTGGTTGCTGGGTTTGTAGCGCAGTGCACTGAGAGTACGCTACCACTTTGCAAAACAAAGACGCACATCCTCACACACACAAAAGCGATGTCTGTCATTCGCCACTAAGTGGCAAATATAAACACGCACCACATATGAAAACATACGTGGACACAATCAGACTAAGGTTAAAAACCATGAAGCTCCGTGTGCCTGAGACCCCTGCCCTGTGTCTAACAGGGGATTTATTGCCGAGAGGGCTTTTTGCTTGCTCGTGATAAAGACTCAGCCAGCCATTTGATTAAAGCATGATCATGGCCTGGAGTTTGGCTTAATCATCAACGGCAAGCAGTTTGGACTTCGTGACAAGGGCTCTGTGTGTAATGGAATACATTGAGTAAACACATGGAGCTAATGTAATCTGGAAAGGATCGTTTTGCCTGCAGGCTTTGAGGGCTTATCTTGTAATAGCAATGAAAAAAGATGAGTCTCTTTCAAACAAATACAAAAATTGTCAGCTTAAGTGTATGAGGTTTAACACTAAGACATAGTGATAAACAGAAACACTAAGGAGTTGTACGTGTATGTATGTATGGTGAACTTCTTATGCACCGTACGGAGCCAACCGTGCTAATCGGAGGTGCATTCCTTGGGAAATCCACTGAGGGATGACGTCCTCCCCACAGCCATGCAGGTTGTGGAGTTTATTTGACCACACTTCACCATGCTGGTCGGGGCATTAGTAAGGGCGTGGGGCACAGACATGGGAACATAGAAGCAAAGTACAATAATGGATTTTGCTGTACTGCCCTCTGCCACCCACAACCCCGTTTATTACTATAAAATGCTTACAGAACTGCTGGTGGCGATTACCTATTACAACCACCACGGCGTACCACGCAAATAATGCGTAACTGTAGCATGCCCCTGTGACAAGTAATAGTAACCCATGTATAACCATCAAACAAAGATGGCCACTGCATTGTGCGCTTTCAGATGCACTTCTGCGACCGTCTGGGACGCTCTTCCTCTCCGATATTAGGAGCCACTGGAGCTATGCACTTTTCAATCATCTAGATTAAAAACTAATTTCATTCGAACTGCTTTTTGCATTTCGTTTGTTGACCTTCCCCCTGCATCTCCAATTACCACGGTTGACCACGTACGGTGGGAAAGAAGGCTCTGTGAAGGCATCTTTACAGAGCCTAAAGCTCTTACTCTTGCCATAGTTTATGAATGCCAAGCCTCCCACGCGTGCCAAATAAAAAAAAAACCCTCTTGGCCTACACGCCACTGTTGGGTTTTTTTCCATTTACAGTGAGGATGTTGCCCGTTTATTTTTGTTGTTGTTTTAATCGCGTTTTCTACGCACAGGCACCAAAACAACTAAAAGGTGCTGGCAACAAACATTACAATCGACGGTGCAACAGAACGGCCCAGAGTTCGGGCCCGGCTGAAGACAGAACGCGCACCTGCAGGCCAATGTCGCGCGCTAGCTGCTGCAACTGCTGCATCGTGAACATGGTGTTGCAGATCTGCTCCGAGCAGCGGGCGAGCGCCGTCACGAAGCGCTTGGCCGCCGAGCGGTTGCTCATGCCGGAGCCGTGCTGCGTGCGCTCAAAGTGCAGCGTGCCCAGCTCATCGGACAACGTGTCGGAGAAGCTGCGGTGCAAAGAGAGAGCATGAGCGAGCGCAACAACAATCAGGAATTCAAGTGGCGTGGCCGGGTGGCTCAGAAGTCAGGGCGCCAAGCCAGCACCCCTGAGAGCCTGGATTTGAAATGAGGTTGGGGTTATGATGAAACCAGGCGCTCAACTCGAGTGAGTGGATGGTTTCGGTAAGCAGAACGATTTTGAAATCGGTATGGCGGCCGGGTGGCTCGGGGGGTCTGAGCTCTGAGTTTGAATCGAGAAGAGGGTTCTGATGAAAGTGGGTTCTGAAGTTCTTGTGAGTTGATGGTTTCAGCATGGTTACCAATGACCACCACATTTTAATATGGTTGTGCAGCTAAATCAGTGAACGTTTTTCATTCACATCAATATCAAGTTCTACCTTATTGTGAAAGTATTCATACATATAAACCTGATCGCCATCTATTGGGGAGGACAAATACTACAACGGCACAGTGTTTTGGAAGAAGGATTTAAGTTTTGAGAACAGGATATAAAGAGTGTGCACTCACGCTTACTTTAATCCCTAATACATTCAACAGCTCAATCATATAATACTCTCAGCACGCCAGGGTGGGACCTTCAACATTAAACCAACATCAGGTTGGTTGGACTTCAGTTATTGCTCTGAATCTTCTAAAGTCCTGACTGCCACAAGTACATGTGATGCGAGTAGACACATAGAGAGTAACACATTAACAAACAAAATAATCTCTTTGTTCACCGGCTTATGGGCCTACGTGCCATTTAACTGTACTGATGAGACTTTGAAATTAAAACTGGTCCAATGTTTGCCTGCTTCAATCAAATGCTGCCAGACTAAAATCAGATTTCATTTCATTCTACATAGATGGAGATTCCTGTCCGATTAACTTATGAACGTGTTACCTACAACTCTCCACAAACGAACATGATGACAGCGTGTTTACGTGTCATGACAAGAGTGGATGTATGTCCCCAGGTACCTGTGTTTCATGATGTCTATCACATCATCTGCATCCTCCTTGGTGGCATTCTCTCTCAACTCCAGCCGGGCTCTCGCCTGGAAGTCAAAAGTTAGAACGGGAAAATAAAAGTAATTAGCATGTGACAGATGTATGTATGTTGAACTTCTTCCACGATATGCCTAGCCAACCGCGCTAATCGGAGGTGCCGGGGAAGGACAACAAACTAAATACAAAAAGCAGTTCTAGTTTTAAGCAAGAGTGACATGTGACACTCATGCTTAGCGTAACACGCACACACGCTTGCCTGGCAAGACTCTTATGGCTCAGAATATTACCAACCTGCACATACTTTTTAAAGTGTGAACACGTGTCTTCAAAGAATTCATGAAAGAATACCAAAATGGTTTTGACAGGGTTTCGCCAATGAATACAGCAATCAATATTTGGGTACAAAAAAAGAACATTCAAAAACAAACCACTGAATGAAGCTGCAACACTTGAACCTTCAGCACAAAAAAACAGACGATGCATCTCGCGTTTTGCGACTCAATGCAATGTTTAACCTCGGTTTGGTCGTCACGCACTCGGTGAACTTCAGGACAGTGGTTTCTTTCCAGGACCCAGTGTCCCACAGACAACACCCAGCGTCCCTGCACAGCTGATTGGGTTGATGAACTACTCAGTTTTACGATCAAGAGAGTAACAGTGCAATGCATAACTGAGCCTGTAATTATTCAAGTGGTTCTTTTTTTCCCCAGGGAGGACAAGCGCTTTGGCATTTTTCCAAGCAAGTTGATGACAACATTGAGTCGAAAAGGAGTTGCGTGGAACTTAAACTTTCGCATCAACCTTTGGAGTAATTAAGGCAGGGATTGCTTTCTTCTAAATTTAAAATGAACCCATGTGCGCACGGTGTGATTTTTTTTCCTTTTTGCTGATATGGTGGCTCAGCGGCAGATTAACCAATTTGCAATCAGAAGGTTGCGAGTTCAATTAATGGTCGGGGATTAATTCGGCACATCATCCCACCGAGAAAAATAAAATAAGTACTACACCACTGCAAATGTCATATAAGATTTGGACTTTGGTGCATACCAGCACGTACCACCCCACTTTAAACACTAATTACGATTGCAATTCACCACGATGTTAACTCCCTCGCCTGGTACACAGGAGGTCGTGGGTTCGATCCAGAACCTGACGCCTGTATATTTGGAGTTTGCATATACTCCCCGTGGTCGCGTGGATTTTTCTCCGAGTCCTCCGGTTTTTCCCTCTACTTTTATAAACAGGCGTTTAGAGTATTTGGCTGCTATAAATTTCTACATGATGAGCTACTTCGTTGAGCAATCATTTGTGGCTAGGTCGCTTCTGAAAAAGAGCTATATATAGCTCAGTGGGCCTTACCTGGTAAAATTACATTTTAATAGCTTAGTTTTTAGCTTATCTATTGCAGGAGTCAGCAAGCTGCGGCTCCGGAGCTGCATGCGGCTCTTTAAGGACTGCTTCGTGACGTTATTAACATGCACTGCGGCTCTTGACAACTTGAGTTTTTTTACTGAATTCAAGCAAAAATGCCTCATTGCTATTTTTGTTGCTGACCCCTGATCTATTGGGACGTTGTTTGTAAGCAGGGGGGTGGGGCAGGCGATGGGAGGGAGGCACGTGGGGTCACCTCGGTGAGACGGATGAGCGACTCGAGCTGGCGCGTGGTGATGGGCGTGCCATCTCCCCCGTGGTGCTGCCGCCGCAGTTCCAAATAGAAGTCCTGCAGCGTCTGCGCCGCCTCTGCCGAGAGGCACGGCCGCACATAGCGCCGCGCGTAGCCCACGTACTTGCGCAGCAGCGAGTGGGGCACGGGGTCCAGCGCCTCGCCGCGCCGAGCCTGCGCACGTGCACAGGGCGACGCGGCGAGCGCCCGTAATTAAGCTTTTCCCATTCCGATGACGTATATCTGTACATGTGTACGTCATCGTTTTATCTTCCAATTCCGTTCTGATGACGTAGGTTGACGTTATCGGAACGGAATCGTAAGTAAAATGCCATGGCGGGAGGGCATGTGGCACAGTGTGGAGTCAGCTATCGCAGAGTGCGGTCGTGTCGCTGCAGTTCTCTGCGGTGATGTCTTTAAAAACAGAAGCGCTACATCTCTCTGAATAAAATTAACGCCAACCGCTCGCGCGTTCCAAGATTCAGTGGTGAACGGGACCCATCTTACAGATATCTCGAATCGGAAAGAGTTAATAAAAAAATCTGAGTGATTTATTGCTCTATTTAGCATTGAGCACGGTGCTCATCTTCAATTTACAGCACTGAGCCAATGGTGAAAACACCGCGTCCCTATGGCATGGGCGAGTCTATTCTTAGGACAACAACACCGTGAACAGTAAAGCATAAATGCGATATCTCAGTCCGTCTGTCTGGAGGTGGGGGGTTATGATAACTCTCGTAAATAGTCACAACATTTGTATTTAAAGTTGTCTTTCTATTAAGAACTTGCCCTGTTGAAAACCGGCCAAATTGATCATGGGTTGGCTAAAGCTTCCAGACACAAATCAGCGCCCTAAGGACTACAGTGCTTCGATGCGCCCACATCCACGCTTCCCCGCCTTCATCACACCTGCACTGACCAGCATGCCAAAAGTGAGGTCAAACAACCTCCGCGACCCACACGGCATGGGGTGGCCGTCATCCATCAGCGGTTCGACAAAGAGAGGTTCTCTTCTGAGCCGTCGTCACCTTAAGTCGATCGGAAAGAGAGAGGCCACCGAGGACATCGTCAGACGACGAGGAGGCGGTGAGCTTCAGCCCAGGGGCGGCCGCACGGCTCACAGAGGCCCCCGCCAGCATCCGCTTGCCGGCGTGCATGGCCATGACGTGCTCCGAGAGCACGTGGTCGCGCTCCTCGTCCGGAGTGTCCACCAGGATGAAGACAAGGTCGAAGCGCGACAGCAGGGCACTGCCCATCCTGCGTTCAACACGCACCGCAGGCCCGGATCAGCTGGGTTTTTTTTTCAGTAGGAGCCCGATATGGAGCACAAACCACAAAAGAGGGGGGGGGGGGGGGGGGTGGGAGGGGAGTGGTGTACAGAAATTCCTCGGACATTAGTCTGACCGAAACGCTGTGCACGTGAGTTTAGAGAAGGGGGGACCGCGAGCGGGGTGTGTGTACTTTTATATGGGAAGGTGAGATTAAATTTTTTTAAAGAAAGTTGAGGGAGCGGGTGGAAGAAGGGAGTGGGGGGGAAGCGGATGGACAACGGAAAGAGAGGAGGGCCGAGTCAGCTGCTAATAGGTGAATGGACTCACTAATCGTAAACGACCATCATCGGCCGACTGTTCATTTAATCAGAGTTGTTTTTTGGTCTGCCATTCTGTTTCAAAACCAAGGATGAAATGATGAGATGAGGTCAAAGTGTGACAGTAGGGCACTTCCCATACTGCGTGGCTTTTAATGGGAGATCAGACACAGTTCCGTAAACAATCACTGTCGTGCTTATTTCACAATCATTATTTAATCATTGAAAGATGACTGCTTATAACTTGAGAGCTGAATGCAGTAAGAGGATTAGCGATGCACCAAATTCCCCATTCTAAAATGGAATGTTGTAACTACAGGACATGGTCTAACTTGCAGATCCGACAAAAACTCAGAATACAATAATTGTTTGGTTGTGATTTAATCGCTAACGAAGAGCTGTAGCGCAATGGTTAGTGCAATGAGCTAACTGTGCAACAGTTCTCTTCACTCATTAAGATACTGCCCAAAGAAAACTGCAAACCAATATCCCCTGATAAAAGCCTTGGAATTCATTAAGACTTTCCTGGGTAAACCCATTCAAAGACTCAAATCCAACCACCGTCAAATCAGGAATTGATTTTGAAACCGCACACACGGAGCTGCACGGCACTTTAGGAAGCCAGCGAGATTGTTTGCGTGTGTGTAATCTCCAGACAATCAACCTTGGTGCGCTTGTCCAATCGATGTCACATTTCACAGAGCAGTTGTGCATCTCTGTAATTGCTCCAAAATGCGAAAAGCTCTTTGCCCACTACCCCGTGGCAAAAGCGGAAAGGTTATAATGCTGGCATTTCATAAAAATCCTCATATTGCGTAACATGTACATTCCTATGAATGACAAACCTCACAATGTTAAAGAAAATCACCGACATGTCTGGTATGCAGGAGGTCATGGGTTCAGTCCCGACCCTGGCACCTGTGTATTTGGAGTTTCCAATTTTCTCGGTCACTTCTGTAAACGCTCGAGCTCTGTCTTCTGGACAGTCCTGTCTCTTCACCTGAAGAAGGCTACTTGTGTTGTGGCCGAAACGTCGTGAGAATTTTATTATGTTTTATTTTTATTATTTTATTTCCATTTTACGTGACTTTACCGAAAGAATCAAGAAGATGAATCCCTGCAGTCACGAAAGCTTTAAATCGAAATGAAAAGTTTTAAATTTTGATTTAAAGCTTTCGTGACTGCAGTAATTCATATTGTTAGTTTTTTCGGTAAAGTCACGTTGAAGAGAAACAACAAAATAACAAAATATATATAAAACAATAAAAAATTCTCACGAAACGTCGTGAGAATTTTTTCTCACGAAACGTCGTGAGAATTTTTTATTGTTTTATATATATTTTGTTATTTTGTTGTTTCTCTTCAACGTGACTTTACCGAAAAAACTAAGAATATGAAAAGTTTTAGTTTACACCTTGAGCGCAGGAGCGGTGGCAGAGTGGTTAGCGCCAAGTGAAGCCGGCAACCCGAGTTTGATTCCCAGCCACGGCTAACAGTAAACCAGTTTTTCTCCCCATCAAATTCACCAATCCACACGAACCAGACTGGTGAAGTATAATCAAATAGTTCCCATTACCAAAGCCTTGACAAAGGCTTTGGTGCCGAACACGTACCACCGCAAATGTTTGAGTATTGAAAAATCAGTCATGGAGTATGGTGAATTCAGAAGTGAAGTACAAACTTTAGGTTCTCAGAGACAGTCTTGGACTTATTGTAGTGTCCACAAACAGGATTGGCAGCTGCCACGATGGACGTTCGTGCCGGAAGGCTGCAAACCTGCACGACCAGACAGATATCGTAAATGTAGCATAGACATCAAGACACAAGACTGAGCATGTTTTCCCATGAGAAAACACCCGCTGCAACAGATCGAACCACAGGCCGTCTTGGGAACATCAACCAGACCGGCTTGCTTTCACCTCTGCAGGGAAGCGTTCAATAGTCGCAGGCATGCGGAACCTATGGGCCGCAGGTCATATCTAGCCCGAGGCAAAATTCCATGCGGCCAACGACCACATGAGGCCTAAAACTTCTAAACGGCTTACAAAAATATATTAAATCCGTGACTGCGAGCATCTTAGTTGCACTAATCAGGTGCTAGACAGGAATAATTTTGACTTGGCAACGTGTTTCTTAATTCCGAGTGCAATCGGTCACTTCTGTAAACGCAGGGGACTCTTGCTGTGACAGAAGTGACTGAGCTGTAACGCGTGGTCCCTCGCCAACGGGATTTTAAAGCCCTATTCGACCCTCGGTGAGAAAAATGTTCCCCACCCCTGACTTACGTGGTTGTTTTGTTGCGAGCGGGTTATTACATGCACCTCCAATTAGCACGGTTGGCTATGCACGGCGCAAAAGAAGTTCAACATACACATATACATACACTTTATAATTAAGATATTCCTTCAGAAGAACTATCCAACACATCAAGATGTGCTTTTTCTCTCAATGACAGAAAAAAGTTCTACTTTTACACGCAGCGATTTGCCAAAAACACGAATTTATCCCTGCGAGCTCTGCTACGCAAACAAATCGAAATTGTACACGATGGATTTATTTGCGAGGACACTTCGGACTCTGCTGAGACCATCCGTCAAAATCACTGCACAGACGAGAATCTGGGTTTATATTGGGCGACAAACCTAGGGGCCCAGGGGATGTGGCTCAGTCGTGTTGACACGAGGCTAAGTGTCCCCCTGAGCCACTCAGCCAGCTCTGTACGCGACTGCCAATTAAAACTCCGTGCCCACTTCCCGTACACACCACGCCAGCCTTGGCCAAGCTGATACTCTGTTGCTCCATCGCCTCCAGCAGTGCCTGGTGTTGGTTTGGCATTTTGTCAAACTCGTCGATACAGCACAAGCCTAAGAAAAACAAACATACGCACACATGAGGGTCGTTCCCTAACGTCTTACGGGGACAGCAAACGCCTTGCAGTCCCCTGCGTGCGTCATGAACCCAGCAAAAACACGAGTTGGAGTTCTGAGAGATGTTTTGAGTACAAATCCAAACTTTTGCTGATTTCAGGAAAACGTCACTAATTACAAACATGAATCGCTATGTGATTTTTTTTACAGTGTTGTGAGATATGGATCCATTTCATCAACGACATTTCAATGTCTATTCCCGTGGTTCTCAACATGTTTTGGCTACTGTACTCCCCTGTTGAATTTTGTTTCAACCGAGTACCCCCTTTGCCTGACCCACCATGGTTCTGATAAAATAAATGTCAGAAGAGCGAACATCAACATTTTAACCAATTTTCCATTTTGTGAAGTATCCTAACTGGCTAGTGACTGCAAGCGAATACAACAAACAACGGACGCTCTGCATGCGTTATGTCATTTCTTCGCACTCGCTGATTACTCTTTGAAACCACTTTGTTTATGATCAATAAGTTTAGAAAGGTATTTTATAGCTTACCATACAGATTTAAATGTTATCGTAGTTATTTTATATTGGCAGATTCATACATGATAATTCACCAATGACACATCTATTATATAATTTCACAAATGTATAAACCACCTCGCTCCCCCCCAGGGGTCCATGTACCCGCGGGTAAGAACCAGTGGTGTATTTACAATATGGTTGAAGACAGCATCTAAAAGCAACAGGATCTCAAGACACTGTACAGGGGCCACAGCGGACAGAGTTGCAGTGGTCAGGTTGAGATTACAGAATCAGATTAAAAATGTATTTATACTGGAGGGATCCGATGAGCTATAAAGCTCTTTTTCACAGATGTCCAGTCGGAGCAGGTAAGAACGTTATAACAACAAACAATACAAACACATGATCGGAGTGCAAAGTACAAGAAAGGTAAACAAATCACCCAAACACAAACAAATAAAACTAAACAATCCCCATCCTACCAGACAAAGCCCACTGAGGTACTTATTGTTCAAAAGCGACCTGGCCACAAAGAATATCTCAACAAAGTGGCTTATCATTTCGACATTTATAGCAGCAAAATAATCTAAAAAGTCTAAACGCATTTTGCTATACGTGGAGGGCATGAAGATATTTCATGAAACGATTAAGCCTAGCCACGAGCACTGCTGCTTGAAAACCAGGGATGCCTCTGTAGTGGGTTCACGGGACACGGAGACGGTGAAGTAGAGGCAGCACTATTTATTCAAAGCTTGGCAGGGTTACACTGAGAAGGGGTACCGGCCCCTTCACCCGTATACACACTGGGACACCCTCTAGGCTAACAACCTAACCACTGTGCTCCCAGTTCCTCCGCTACAGGTGCTAGAGGAGGCTATCTGACCTGGCTCTGGTTATGGCACAAGTCACAGCACCCAACCAGACAGACCGACCCTTAAAAGGGCTCCGGCTCTGAGGCTCCGGGGCCGCACCACTGGCCTGCCCTGCCGGCCCTGAAAAGGGCAGCGGTCAGGGTAGTCCCAGGGTCTATCTAGCCGGTTTTCCTTCTTCACTGGTTCTTCACTCTTGGCTTACCCCAACACTCTGCCCCGAGCTCTCTGGCTCCCCGCCCTTTATACCCATACACCACTGAGGGGCGGGGCTGTAGCGGACGTGTTTGTAGCCACCACTATGTGACCATGTGTTCCCATCCCGCAACACCCCTACACCTCTGTAAATGACACCCATTTCCCACCGGTAAATCAGAGTCATGACAGCGCAGCGCTCTTTCGGAATGGGTGGTTTTCCACTGTTTTTCAGAGCCAAGCCAGAACCAAACCGTGATGTGCAGAGCCAGGAGCGTGGCTACCGACTTATTCATTCTGCGTCAACCACCAGCATCACCGGCTCAGCTTTCGCAGTGGAAAAACCACCTGGCGCCAACTGAGCCGAGTCAAGCCGAGCTGGCTGGCTCGGCGTGGTCCCCCGCACGGCTAAGTTATGCAATGGAAAGAGGTGCGAGTTGCACGTTTGTTGGAATGGTGCCACCACCTTGATCTCCCAGGACCAGGGCACCAGCTTCCAGCGCGTAGTCCCCCGAGGGACCGTCCTTGGAAAGCGTGACGGTGAGTCCGGCCGTGGTGGTGGTGTTGCCGCACACGTACACGCCCCGCGGCGCTATGTTGCACACCGCCTATAACGAAGCACCGTTAAAAACGCAACACCCAGTCCGTAATCACCCAATGGCACGTGGGGGCGTACAACCCTTTTCGTCAATCCGCTGCTGGATGAGGGCCTCTCCAAGCCCATGCAGGTCGTGGCGGTTGTTTGATCTTACGTCACCATGCTGGTGAGTGCGAGGTGGTGAAGGTGAGGAGCACAGATGTGGGCGTATACAAATATAGAACAATGGATTTTTCTGTACTGCCCCCCTGCGGTGCATCACGTAGCCCCACAGCGACCAAAACCAAACCAGCATGTAGGGTGGTCACCCATCCAAGCACTATCCAGGCTCAAAATCCTGCTTATATTTTTAGATCTTACGAGATCGGGCACATCCTCAACGATTTGGTAAGAAGGCTACATAATACACGTAAAATGAATTATTTCCCCATGTTGAAGTGGTAGACGCAGAATGATCCAAGTCCAAACATATATGGCTTCAAATATGTGCAAATGTCAGACACCATGGCACTGTTAGCAAGACCATGCTATTGTGTGCTTATAAGACGGCTGTTTTACTTAGAAATTGTCATTTAAGAAGCAAGCGACATCACCATAAATACACCCAGACTTCAGAAAACCAAGCAGGATATGAACACGATTTATTCCTGGGACAGAAGACTGCCTGGGAATACCAGGTGTCGTATCATCGGTATCACGAAATCCAACTGGATGGGATTTGCGAAGGCACGCTAATATTTGCAAAGCCTCGCGCGTTTTCACTTAAACAAGCTCCGCAAATATAACCCTGCTGTCAACGCCGCCGCACCTGCAGCATTTGGCTCTTGCCGAGGCCCGGGTCACCCACAATGAGCACATGGGGGTCTCCGCGCACGGGGATGCGGTTCTTGTCCGTCCCGTAGCGTTGGACGCCGCCAAAAAGGGCCAGGGCCAGCCCGGCTTTCACCAGCTTTGGGGTTGCAAAGCAAAAGCGAGTAAAAGGATCACATCGTAAAGAATAATACATTTAGTCGATTGATTGTTACTCGACTACCATCTGCAAATCGATGCAAGTACAACAGACAATTTAATTGCTATCACACTGTAAGCTGTTAATCAGCTGCACCCAGAAAGCTCGTGGCCTTACCCTTGGCAGAGAGAACCTAGTGACCAAGATGAACCAAATAGAAAGGTGACATATATGACCCAGCATTGTGTCATTGAAACTCCTGTATTGTACAGATAGCAAGCATCATTTCACTTTCTCGTAGTTTTGATAAAAATAGAAAATATATCATCGGTACCCCAACATCCTATGAATACATTTTGTGACAAAGGAATTAAATGTCCATGTCACTACCCCACAGAGTACAACAGGAAGTGCAAGGTCAATGAAAACGCGTACTTTGTCCTGCGGATCAGAAACCTCCGTGAGAATGTGCGACTGCTGACTCGCAAGTGAATGCACGGACACTCTTATGATTTAGTCTTCGCTTAGCATTTTATAAAACTTACTTTTGAAGGCTGACATTGTTGAATCAGCCGAGTTCCTTTAGACCACAATGTTCTCACGTTTTATTAGATGGTTTCTCATACCCAATCCCCCCACCCGTATATCAATGAGCTGTCACTCGATTTTAAATTCTGAAATTCAATCATGCTTGCGGAGGTGACATGATGCAGCACTAACGCACATAATTATAGGAGGCGCACAAGGCGTTTAAGACTGTAATGTGAAAAATAGAATTGAATAGACAAACTGCGAGAATAAAATGTCTTCATCAAGGACAGAACTCACTTGCGCAGGCAACGGTAAACCAAATGATTCGTGTTACAGTGTATACCAACCCTTGGAATTGATAACTGTAAACTTAAAATCATAGTGGTTCAGTTAATATACATGTATCCGCGTGGACCCATGGTTTGTGGTGTATATGTATTTTTTGTACGAACCTCGTGGCCGTAAATGGTCGGACAAATAGAACTGCAAAACAAACCAGATGCATCCACTTATGGATTGAAAACCTAGTGGATAATAAAGAGCACTGTTATATTATCGTCACTTTCTTCCATCTCAGGGACAATACAAAACCCTGTTCAATTCTTTTATCAACTTAATATTCAAAATACATTTTATGAATTTCACGAACATGTAGTTGAAATTACAATGTAAACATTTTTTGAAACATCATGACTTGAATAGTAATGATATGTTTATATTTATTGTGAGTGGTAATGGAAAAAAAAATTACTGCCTCCATGTTCTGGGCCACATGAACAACTCATCTGATGTTAACACAACCAACAGCCTATGTGTGCAGGTGTGCTCAACTCCATCGTTGCAAGTCTATAAGTCTCTATGTAAGTCAACAGATCTCTATCTGAGTCTCAGAGTTTCTATATATGAGTCATTGGTGACCAGGTTTGAAACCATCAACTCACTACACTTGAGAACCCGGTTTAATCACAGTTGGCACAGCACTGTGGTCTCTGAGCCACCACCCAGCCACCGCAGCTAATATGAACACAGCTCCCAGCACATATGTGTGTGCACTTACTGCATGCACAAGTAGCATCTAGCCTGGTACAAGCACTGTGGTGACATCACCGCCACTTAATGGCGAATGGCGGCTGTTGTCGTTGTTGTGCACTCACTGCACGAGGAGGCGAAAGAGGTGGGGCTGCGCTTGGATCTCCTGCACGGCATACAGCTCCTTGAGAGAGAAATCCAGCGCCACCCCAGGTGCCGTATCTTCCCCGCCCCCGTCACTACGCTGCCCCTTGGTGTTGCTCACCGCCACCGCCTGGATGTACAGCAGGAACATGCACTTGTCCTTGTTGCTTTTGTTGCGTCCTTGAGTGACACACAAGACATCCACACGGGCATGCAGAGACGGAAAATAGAAGAGGTTACCCAGTGTAAATATTAAAGATTAATCTTACATTGGGTTAAAAATCGTGGCTTGATAAAACATGTCTTAAAATTCACGTGTAAAGAATGATAGCTCAGATTCACATCTCGACGCAACAGCCAATAAACATTGCCAGAATATATTAACTGGACTTCCACTGAATAAATAGTCGAAACAAGCCTATGACCAAATCACCTGCAATGCACCTGATCTCGTCAGACATTGAAAGATAAACACGGTTGAGCCTGGATAGTGCTTATATGGATTACCGCCATGCATAAAAAAGTGATGTAGGTAGCTGCAGAGTTACGTTGCGGTAAATCCAAAGGACGATCACTGTGGATCTACCCATGGTGGAAGTATTCACATCTCTGTGCATATTTATACTATGGGCATAAGTCAGAGGGCAAACGAAGGATTGCATTCTCTAAAGGCAGTCTCGATCATGTATATATGTACATATACACACATGTCCAGCACCATGCCGGCAACGAAAGGGAGTTTGCATCCTTGAGCAGCCACTCTAAAGCGTTCGCTTCTCTTTACAAAACAGACAAGTACGGTTAACGAACTCGGGGCTTGCCTTCATCGCTGCTGGCAACCTTTACGATGCCCGTGAGGGTGATGACATCCCCGGGGACGCAGCTGTCGACCAGGTCGTGCGTGAGCTCACACTCCACCGTGCGAGGGATCCTGCCAGCCTCGCGCTGCTCCCCGTGCATCAGCTCCTGCACCCTAGAATTCATCGAGACTCCTTCACTGCCTGCAACAGACTCTTCTCTTTTCGCAACGGTTTAAAACCCACGTTTGGAACGTATGGCAATTTCTGTTGCAGTGCACTGCTGGAATAAGGCCTGCTCGTGCCGGTCGTAAGGGTTGTTTAGCCTAACATTATCATGCTGGTCAGTGCGGTCATGACACAGGACTTGGGCACTGACCTGGATCATTCCTGGGTAAATCTTTTTGCAGATGACACGATACTGATTACTGCTGTCCGCTCTCCGGATGATGTGATTGCTAAGCTCCAGGGTGATTTCAACAAACTACAACATCAGCTAGTTGCTCTTAAACTAGTCCTGAATACCTCCAAAACCAAGGTGCTATGCTTCTCACCAAGACTGAGCAGGAAGTTATTTTTACCCATTTACATTCCTTAAATAATTATCAAATAGAGCAAGTCAAGATCTATAAGTATCTTGGGGTCATCCTGGATTCAAAACTGAATTTTGAAGATCACATTGATTTTATTGATAAAAAGACAAAAATAAAAATTGGTTTTCTGTATCGACACAAGCACTGCTTCCCCCCTATGTTCCGTTTGGAATTGATAAAAGCTACCATACTGCCTCTACTTGATTACTGTGACATCGTGTAGAAATCAGCCCCAAGTGCTATACTGAAGAGGCTTGACTCAATTTATCACTCGGCCTGAAGATTTGCATTGAACTGCCCATATAGGACTCACCACTGTGATCTCTACATTGGGTTAAACTTAACATCTCATAATGTTTGACGGCTTGTGCACCAGATCTGATTTATTCACGATGTACTTACAAAAAAATCCGCAGATTACCTGCTGGATCTCCTCTCTGTTTCAAAGAACAAATTTGACCTAAGGTCTTCGCTCATTTACCAGCTTCACATTCCCTATTGTCGTACAAACACTGGAGGAAGGGCCTTTGCTATTGATGCCCCCAGGATCTGGAATGCTATTGCCAATAAACTGCAACTTGAATCACTACCTATGAGATCTTCACTCAAAACTGCTCTAGAGGAGTTGTACACCCCTAGCTGCCACTGCTATTCAATGGCCTAAAATAAAATAAAATGTTTTGCTCTGGATGACCGCTGCAAAGTATGATCTGTGCTTTGATTTAGTGTGCTGATCTTAAAGGTGCATTGAAATTTTTTGATACTCCGACTGATGCTCCTGCTGTTGTGGAGTGACTCATGCAGCCGGCTATGGCTGCAGGGTTTGGTGGTACATGTTGTTTATTGTGAAAATTCGGTCACAGTTCCTATGATCACCATTACATTGTTTTTTGGCTTTATTTTGATTTCGAAAACGTTTTTTTGTTTGGCCATGTTTGTTTGTTGTAGAACGGAGTTAGACCGATGGCCTTAATCGAAGTTGTCTTGTGGTTGTTGTTGTTTGACTTGCATCCCACTGGGTTTTTCGCACACAGAGTTGGTATACGGTGCTTTTTCTGCAATATTTTGCTGTCTTTTCTTGGATTTTATGTTTGCACTTAAGATGTTTTCTTGTTCATGTTTTTGTTTTTTGTTTGTTGCGGTTGCACCCGATTCAAGAGCCGAATGGATCACAGGGCTATACCAAATAAATGAAACTGAAAACTGAAATTGAAGGACGCTAACACTGCACAACCTCTTCACCCCCAATTTAACTTTCATTTCACAAAAATTCCCCTTTTATGTCCGAAATAAATCTCATAAAGCAGGATGTGCTGTGTCTTGAATCTACAACCTCTATAAAATAAGTTCACTTTTCAGCTTCTGTACAAATGTTTTATGCAAGTATGGTTTGAGATTATTTGTTGCATAATTGGTGTTTGGTAAAATGCAAAAGCAGGTGCCCTCCTGAAGAGTCTTCCCTGAATAACAAATATACAGCTCTGTATTATTACCAAATCGGCCAGTGTAAAATTCCTTCTACTTTTATATTACCACATCAACACTGTTGTATTAACTAATTTCTTATAATTCTTTACCTTTATCCCGATTTCCAATTGCATTTGTACGAGTACAGAGCTTTGAGATAAAATACTATTCAAACATTTTAATGCGCTTAAAGACAGGCATGAGTACATTGTGATGAATTATGTTTCTTGTGAGACAGTGAAATACCTGACTCGCAATTATTTTTAACTTGGCAAACAGGTGCGGAAAAAGCTATGTAGGTGTGTTTTGTTGAAAGTATAACTCAACAGAAGAGAGCCCTGCGTTTTTCTCACTTGATATTTTGCCAGTCAACAGTCTCGGTGAGCTGAGAGCGTCTGTTCGGCATGAATGTTCTCGAGCGGCAATCTTCATCGGCGCACTTTACACGTTTAAAAACACACGCCACCAACAAACGAACATGACCAAATTAATTACCCGCGACAGTGAAACGACAATGTAACATTTTTCAGTCATATAAAATCTTTGACGTGGGAACACATGATTACCAGGGAACATTGTAATTGTGCCAGGAAGAAACTGGAGTACCCAGAGAAAACCCACGCCATATGAGGAGGCGATACCCAGGACTGCCAACTCCCGGCTCCCCCTTGCAGTCCCATGCCCAAACACCTGGTGTGGTCACCTGTTCAACCCAGCTTGCGTTGAGCCTGGATCATTTTTGGATGAGTGACAACCATAAAACAGGTGCTGTGTCCTCCTGCAGAACTACGCTGTCAGCGCCTTCAACAACCCACGCTAACCATAATGGTGAAACATAGCCCAATAACCCCCACGACCTACACGGCGAATGAATGGATGTTGAACTTCTTTCGCACCGTACGTAGCCAACCATGCTAATTGGAAGTGCGGGGGTAAGGACAACAAACTAAACACAAAAAGCAGTGTAGGAGGCCCTCATTGAGGCAGCTCAATCCCGTTTGGTTTTCGTAATCTGACCAGATCGGGCTCACTGGGGCCGATTTATTTGTGCGTTTGAGAACAAATAAATTATTGAATGAATGCACGTACGAATGACTTGAGAGCGGGATACCTGCCTTGGTCGGGAGCGTGAATTTCCCGTACGGGAGCCGCAGCACTTGCTCGGTTCCGCACGCATTGCAGGAGAAGGCGAGACGCGTGCACAGCGGTTTGATGTTGCCGACACGCACCACCGTGCCGCGGATCGCCACCAGCCTCCCGTAGCAGTTGGCACGCAAGTTCTTCAACTGGGTCAGCGGCTCGTAGTTGTAAATTCTGGTCACAAAAACGAGACGTGAAAATATTACGAAATAAAACCAATAATTTACAACCCACCGTCGACCCCACTGCTGAACGAAGGCCTCCCTATGCCGTGCCGATCGTGGGGGTTGTTTGACCTTGCGTAATTGTACAGGTCAGGGTAAAATGCGAGCTTAGTCAACTCGCACGGTCCAGTGTGATGCAATATGGCAAAAATTATTCACCACATCCTGCACGGTGAGGCACTCATTTAAGAGTGGATTGACAAAAGGGCTATATGTGTTTACATATATAAGTACATTAAGTTCAGAGTACACAGTAAATGTGAACATAAACATCAAGACGTCATCACAGCCTAATGCTATCGATGCCACCACACCTTGCCAACACTTCCTTCCTTCTACCAGCCTCCGCAACTGTTGCACAGTCGACAGCCAACTTCGTATGTGCATGTAAGGGCTCATTATTTTATTTTTTACGTTAAATAGAAAGCAGAAGTCAGTGTTAGGGGGGACATTTTCCATTCACTCAAAGTGGATTTACAAAATGGGCTGTAGATGTACTTATACAGTCTCCTCTCCTATAACGCGTGTTTTCACAACACGAATTAGAAATAACGAGATAAATATATTGGGGAACATACACGGATGCAAATTGGACATAGCGCGATCGAGTTAGCAGAACTACGTTGCACGAGTAGGAGTAAGCGGTTGTACGGCTGCCTCGGCGTAGCATCACACAAGGCGGGATGCTGCTGGATGCTTCTAGATACTACCCACGCGCCTCAGACTTTCTTCAGCCTGCGTACGCATCTCACATGTTATCGCGGACTGTGCTTTACCCTTTAATATATATGATTCATTATAACGCGATTTTTCCATAACACAATGTTCTTTAGGAATGCAACCACCGCATTATAGGAGAACATGATGTATTCTTATTTTTACCGAACGTTTATAAGAGGCACGTTCACCGTGGGCGCCTCCTCTTGCTGAATGTCGGCTTGTTGCTGCAGCTGCACCACCTGACTTTCCAAGTCCTTCGTAAGGGTCTGGCAATGACAGACACGAGCAGTGAGAGTGGCTACAACATCATCGGCACAGCTGCCGACAAAGACCCTGAGTCATCTTCACTCCAAAAAGAGAATAAACCGAAACTACTTTTTTTTCTAGATTTGAAGCTTTCGTGACTGCAAGGATTCATACTCTTTGGGTTTTTTTTTTCGGTAAAGTCACGTAGGTAAAATAAAGTAAATGAAAACAACTACATTAAATCACGATGTTTCGGAGGCAACACAAGCTTCCGTCTTCAGGTGGAAACCGCCACAGCAAAGTTGCTGTGACGGTGAAGCTCTATTCACTTGATACAGCAATTTTGGTTTCCACCTGAAGACGGAAGCTGTGTTGCCTCCGAAACATCGTGATTTAATTTAGTTGTTTTCATTTATTTTATTTTACCCACGTGACTTTACCGAAAAAAACAAGAGTATGAAACTACTTTTGTTCATGCGTTAATTTTATACACGACGGGGGTCGATGTTCATTCATTTGTCTGTATGGAAGTGTTGGAAGGTTTGCTCTCAAAACTGTCCCATGAGATGTTATTTTTTGTTCTTCCAAATCAGAGACTGATATTATATTAAATTGTAATAGATCAGGTCTAAACATGGCATTTGGGTAAGGTTTAGAATTGGTGATACACTGGACAAAACTTATGTTACGGTTGACTAATTATGGTGCGTAAGAAGTTCAAAATACATACAAGAATTAGCAGCCTAAAACCAAAGCAATCGGAATGAGCCCTATCTTATCAGATTTAGCAATCCAAGTAGGTATTGGGCCTGGCTAGTGCTTGGATTGGCGACCAGTGTTGTAGGCTGCTGTGGAACTACGTTGTCAGCAGAGGGCAGTGCAGCAACATCCATTGCTGTGACGTTCGTTAATGCTTCTTAGTCTGTGCTCCCCACCTTCACCACCATGCACTGACCAACATGGTGAAGTATGCTCAAATAACTCCCACCACCCGCACAGTGTGGGAAGACTCTGATCCTGCAGTGGATTATCAAAAGGGCTCTACGAGAACAAGGATTGTCACTGTTGATGGATTATAGTCAAAATATCAGTGTGATGAGAACTCGGGTAAAATTTGAGTTCTGATTTCTAGACGTGGGGTGCAGTGTAAGTAGACCTGATGCACGGCCAACCCCATGTACTGCAGCACACGGTCAGGAGTCTCAGCAAGGTCATCTGCCAGCGTAGGCATAGCGACAGTCAGACAGTGGTCCTCCACCAGTTCTTTGAAGTCCACCAGGATGCTACCTTTTTCTTCAATCTCATCCTGAACCAAACAAGCACAACATAGCACATTAACTTGTACACAAGAGCCTCAGCTTTCTGCCCCATAAGACTAAGTTGATATCTAAGACACCAAACAAGATCAATAAACGCCCTTCCCTGAAAATCTATGGCACAATTATATTGATATTCCAGTGAGGTGGAGCGATAGTTGTGAAGTGGTTCAAGCACTGCACTATGACCCGAAAAGTTGAGATAAATTCGCAGTCATAGCAAACAACCAGTGGTGAGTGATATCTGAACCAGCCCCATCTCCACCTCCCTCTTTGCCAACCTGCACTGGTGCAGTAGCATCAAAAACACGAAATAGTATGGAAAAATCTTCATCCAGCAGTCGATTAGCGAAAGGGCTGTATATTATTGAAGTATAGTTTAACATGCCTACTATACGTCATTAGAATCTTGCGGCATTCTTGTAAAACCAAAAATGTAGAATCTTGGTGGTTTAACAGGAGGCCTTTAAATAGACAGTGGCTCATTGACAAACAAATACCAAAGTATATTGTAAGCTAAAAAAAATACTAACGAGGAAATATAGTGTAGATTCACAGTACCTTATTATACAGTTCAAGCCTTGCAAAGAAAAACTTCTCAAAGACCTCCACTTTGGTGACAATACCTCCGGAATTGCAATAAACTGGAAACACAAAAAAACACAAAGTCAATAATAGCAGTACGATGTCACAATTACAATGAAACCACCACCAGATGCCAAACTCACTGAGACAATAAAAAGACATCAACCACCTTCAGAAGGAAAGTAGAGCTTCCATCCTGGGTATGGGCAGAAATCATCCAGGGTGGTTTGAAGGACCCTGGCGTGGCACGAAGAGGAGGGAATCTTTGGAGATGACACATTGAATCCACCTGAAACATTTTGTAGGTGTTGATCATGATGAACCAATGATCAAATAACCTAGAATTTCACCATCAGCAAGCAGGATTGAGCCGGGGACAGTGTTTTTTTTTTTTATGGGCGACCACCATGCATGCTGGGTTGTCATAACGCTTGCGAGGCGACGTGGTGGGCAGCAGAAGGCAGCGCAACAAATACATTATGGGATCTCCTTTGCCAGTACCAAAATATGAGAATAGGTTTTCCCCTTTATTCTGGCAACAAAACAGGTGTTAAGATGATTGGTCCAATCAGTTTCAAAGACAATGCATATATTATCAGGGTATGTTTTTTGTTTGCATTCTAACCACAAGTATTGTGGTTAATGCAAACATGATTCCTTGTAAAAGGTTTCAGTTTGGTGCATTAACATCTTAACACCTGTTTTGTTGCCAGAAAAAATGGGAAAACCTATTCTCAACAAATATATTTACGCGATCTAACCCAAAAAACCTGTATGGATAATATTGGTCGCGAAAGCCTATGTGTTAAACAAATACATTGTTGGAGTGAGCTTCTATGCGCTCCGCCTTCAACTGACAAAGCGTGAAGATTTCTCAAATAACCCCAATGACCTGCACAGCATGAGGACCTATCCGGTAGTGGATGTACTTGTGCGTGTATGTGATGCTGTATTAACAAACAAATAGATGATGTATGAACAAACGTCTGATTCAAGGACATTATTTTAAAAAGTGCAGGCCATGTTGGGATGGTCTAAATTTGACAACTTTTTCAATATATTTGGCAAATTACTTAAATGTGAAATCACCACATACACCAGTGCTGCATTAGACCTTGCACTGAAAGTTGACAATTGAGTCCCCTTATGCCACACTACGACAGGGAAGTGCAATGGTTCAAATGAGATATGCCGTAAGGTGCTTTGAGATTGTATCGCATAAGAATCATAATCTGTATGTATACTGGCGGAATCTGATGAGCTATAAAGCTCTTTCTCACAGATGCCCAGTATAAAGCTGCCTATAAAAGCTACCCGCAAAACCAAACTCTTATCCTTATCATGTCGGGAGGGGAATCGAAAGGCGAAATGAAGGTACAATAATCTTACGAGTGAATGTGTTAATTATTACCACGGGCGCAGCTGCCACCACCGCCTCCCCGGCCGTTGTAGCGGCCACGCCAGTTGCCTCCTGACCCTCTTCTATGGCCACCTCGCAGCCAGCCTCCCCCTCCTCTCCCCCTGCACTCCGGCTCACTCATGCCCTGTGTGTCCTCAAGCAAACACACAAAAAATACAACGCAATTTATACATTTCAAGCGCATGCACAGTTGCCCCTTTTTGTCAATCCACCGTCAGATGAAGGTCTTCCCCCTTGTGTTTGCTGTTTACTTGACAGTGAGGCTGTGAATCCAGCCCGAGAGCAGTATAGCAGGGCAATGGACCACATGGTCGTCATCCCACATCGAAATTGCCCTTATTATCAATTATCTTATAAGTGGCTGGACGTGGTCGCATCTCTAGGGAAGACAAGCACACATCACGCAACAGCTAATAGACGGCAACTTAAACGGGAATGAGCGACCCCTCTCTATATTAGACAACTACATGTTGTACCTTGCAGTACAGTATTATATGTCCAGGGATGCTGCACAATAAGGCTCTAGGTGAGTGTTGTTAGTGCGGTCCCCCGACAATACACAAAGAGTGACAACACTCCCATCGTGCTGCTGTCAAAGCCCCAAATGGTTTTAAACGTCTGGCGGCTCTCACACAGATGCCGTCTGCACGCCAAAAGCGCTACCCCCCTCAGAAAACCAGCGAAGAAAACTGCCCCATAAGCGATGCCGTCTTGGTCTAATGGGTTTCGCAATAGAATTTCAACCCAGATACATCTGAGGTGCAATAAAAAAAAGACGATGCAAGGAAGATTTTGCTCCATCCTCGACTGATACTTGCCACCAAGCAAGGCACGCTCAGGTACTGCACAGGCCGTGTGCGGTGAGGTAAAGTGTGGGAAACTCCCACCTCTTGCAAACGCGGCTGGTCAGCGTGGAAGAGTAGGCCAAAATAACCCTTGAGACTTAGAGTGGTTGACTAGGGAGGCCCTTCCACCAGCACCGAGCAATTGCAGTGCTGCGCCTTTAGACCACGCAAATCGTTTAAAGTCACAACTGCATTCACGTATCAACGTACACGACGCATACAAAGTAGGATTATATTTTTTTAAACGTACAAGTTATTCACGCGATGCTGTTACTCGTTACGGAGTGGAAGCGACTTCGCGATTGAACTCATCCGCAGTTGTTTATTTAAAAAAACACGAAACCAATTAAAATTTCCGCCTCACGGAACGAATTGGGTTTTGTTTTCCCGCGCGCGGCAACGTCGCCGCCGCCGATTGGACGACGACGACGACTCGCAGAGCTCACGGTGCCGCCCCTCCAATCAAGGCGATCGCTCATTGGTTGACGTGAATCAGCGGCGGGGCCGCATGCCAAACCCGAGGGGGGGTTTCCCTCTGTCCCAAATTCAGCGTGGCGCGTTTACACCCCTGAGGCATTTATGTTGAACTTTAAGAGGCGTAAATAATTTAAACGTGTCGTCAAACCCGCCACCACCCGACACGGCCAATTAGTAAAGGGTGTGTCACGTTAAGAGAAGGTGCCAAATTCGTTACTAGTACAGCAACACCGCTGTGTTGGAGAGCAAATCCACAAAACGTTTACAATCTGAGCACGACGATTGGCCAGTAAGGGGGCGTCCATAAATGACGTCACGCGATTTTCGACAATTTTTGACCCCCCCCCCCTCGTCACACGGCGTCACAAAAAGTCAGACCCCCCCCCCCCTCAAATACGACGTCACAAAGCTCTTCCCGCCCCCCCCCCCCCCAAAAAAAAAAACAAACTAAAACATGCTTCAAATCGCTTTAAACTATTGTCATTGTAGTGCGCATTTAATGTGACACTGCACTCTGATGTTGTAGGAGAAAACATTTATTTAAACGTCTATTTAATTAAGTAGAACGTGTTGTCTATATTTAAAGTTGCGCATATTGACGTGACGTCACATTTCTCAAACCGCCCCTCCCTCCCTCGTCACATATCGTCACAAATGTCTGACCCCCCCTAGGTGCCTGACGTCATTTATGGACGGCCCCTAATTACAACCAGCTTCATCAATTACTGGCGAAACGTCGTACTCTGTAAATCTTTCGTGGCTTTGCCCTCCAACACAGCGGTGTTGCTGTAGCAGTAACGAATTGGCCACGTTCTCTTTACGTGTCAAACCCTTTACTAATTGGCTGTGTCGGGTGGTGGCGGGTTTAACGACACATTTGTGTATTTACGCGATCTAACCCCCCCCCCCCAAAAGAACCCCTCTTATTATTGATGATATTGGTCACGAAAGCCCACTACGTGTTAAATTGACGTTAGAGACGTGTCACACACGTGTGCTTTGGCTACCAATATTCACAACAGAGGTGCAGCACGATGCCGCATGTAACAATATCCAGCGAGGCGTCGTGCTCACGTGGTCAACGTCGTGGATTTTCTCTCCAACACAGCGGCGGGCTCAAGTAGGAAACTAATTGGGCAGCGTTTTGTTTACGTCGCAAACCTTGCTGGCTGTGTCGGGTGGCGGAGATTTACGACACATTCACACTTAACGCGATCTAACACCCCCCCCCCCCCCCCCCCCCAAAAAAAAAACACATTTTTATTTAGAGATTTGATTTTACATTTGCAGGACGGTTAACCTTGGCTTGTTCTACAGATGTCTCTCGATCCGATGCTGTTCTTGTTCAGGTACATTTTAAGTTTAACACGTAGGCTTTCGTATTGTGATATATTTTAAGTGTCGAGCGTATTTCTGTATTAACCAGGCGATGACTCGATAAGGCCAGGATTAGTTCCATTTGCAAGTTACCTGTGCCATGGGGCGAATGACTGAGATGAATGACAGACGTACGACCCTGTGAACAGCCACAACGCAAGCCCTGTTGCGTTTTAATCGCCCTGCGCTCAGCTCGTTGTTGTGAGCGTCGCTCCTCTGCCCTCCGTTGTTGCTGGAGGGCGACTGCCTCCTAACTCCCCAGCAGCAGCAGCGTCCTTCACGAGCCTCCTCCTCTACAGAGGCCGATCTTGACACCGCTGGTGCCAGTTATCGGCAAGTCCACTCAGCTCCACAGCCTTCTGTACCGCATCAGTTACATATCTTCTCTAGCCCGTGTCACCGACTCATTCACTCACCCATCAGTCCATCTCTTCTCTAGCCCGTGTCACCCACCCACTCACCTATCAGTCCATCTCTTCTCTAGCCCGAGTCACTCATTCACTCACCCATCAGCCCATCTCTTCTCTAGCCCGTGTCACCCACAGGACCCAACCTGATTAAACCCAGGATGTTCGGCATGCCAAGCCTGAACGTTTCAAACCGGCGCGCCGGCGGCGAGGAATGTCAAAGCCAGGTGGTGCGATGCTGATGATGTTAATGTTTGGGTCTCGAATGAGGCGTTACATTCTGGCCATCCGCGTGGCCTCCGCTCTGTTCGCCAGCGTTATTTGTGATCCGGGTGAAATCCTACAGGGTAGGGTGGTCCAGATGTCTTGTGACCCCCAACCACCATTGCATTCTCTAAAACTGAATATGTTTTTTTAAGTAATGTTAATTTATAACAGAAATGAATATGCAAGGAGAAACAATGTTAGGGGTCAATTCATGGGGGCGGGGGACGGGGTCACAAGGCATCTGGAACACCCTTTAGGTATTGTGACAGGAGGATCAGTCGTGGCAGCAATTGACCACGTGGTGGCGCTGTGAGCACGTGTCATTGTTGCCAATGCGTGATTCCGGAAGTGCCCAAGGCTGCGCCTTAAACTTGCAATGCACATCTCATTTGGCTGTCGTGAGCCAGCAGTGGAAATTCCACGTTCCTTTGACAAGCTTTCATAAAATGTGATTCAACACAGCATGCAGTTCTAACTTTCTCCTTAATGTTGTAGCCACACCACGGTAGTGCCGTTTTGACGATGGCGGTTGTGGTGGTCGTCCTGCAGAGAAAAATGACTATAATAATGACACCCTTCCTTTACCCAGAAAAATATGAACACCCTCTTTAATTAGGCCCTCTATTGGAATGGTTGAGCTATGCTGATGGATGACGCGATTTAGTTATAATGGGTTGATATTTTAGCCCATGATATATCATTTGTAAGATGTTAGAGCAGCGGTGGTGCAGTGGACAGCGCACTGCACTACAAACCCGGTGACCTGAGTTCAATTCCTGGCCACGGCTAACATGATTGGCGAGTGATGTCTGGGCCCATCTTAACAACAACAACCGCCATTCGCCACTAAGTGGCAGTGACGTCACCACGACGCTTGTGCCAGGCCATGTTCACATTGAGGCCACGTGGAGTGTCGAACGCCCGCTGGCAGGAGGTCACGGGGCAGACCCAGGTGCCACGGGTCGACTGACTGAGATGAGTGGCTGATGCACTACTTGTGCCCCCTACTGTGCCAACCTGCTGTGCTTTAGCCACCCGGCGCTCCGCTCGTTGTTGTGAGCGTCGCTCCTCCGCCCTCCGTTGTTGTTGGAGGGCGACTGCCTCCAACTGCCCAGTAGCGTCCTTCACGAGCCTCCTCCACAGAGGCCGATCTTGACACCGCTGGTACCAGTCATCGGCAAGTCCACTCAGCTCCACGTCCTCCTGTACCACGTCACTCCATCTCTTCTCTAGCCAGTGCCGCGCCCGTTTAGCCCCCTCGATCCGGCCGAACAAAAGCTGTTTCGGCATGCGGTGGCTGGGCATGCGGGCTACATGACCCAGCCAACCTTGCCTGCCGGAGGAGCTCACCGATGGAACCGTGCCCAGATCTTTCAAGGATTTGTGAGCTCCTCACACAATCCAGCCGGGTTAAACCCAGGATGGATCGTAGGCAGGACAGCCTAAATGTGTCTAACCGGCGAAGATGTTCCATTAGGGGGGTCCACGTTTCGCAAGCGTAGAGAAGGGAGGGAATGACCGTGGCCGAGAAGACCTGAAGCTTAGTGCGGAGCGACAGACCAGGTAGCTTCCATACAGCATTACGCAACCGATGAAAAGATATTGCCGCTCGACTGATTCGGAGTGAAACCTCTGCTGTTAAACTGGAGCCGGTCATAAGCACACTGCCCAGGTATGGGAAACTCTCCACTCTCTCTCCACAACTGCCCCATCACCGATTGGGAGTTGTGGGGGTGGAGTGTCCGATGGTACAAAATACCCAGGAAGGTGCTTGGTTTTGGTGGGGCTGATGGTAAGGCCCCCATCTCTTAGTAGCACGCTCCAGTCTCAACGGCAGCGTCTCCAAACTCCTCCTCTGAATGAGCAGCGATTACCAAATCATCGGCATACATAACGTGGTTGAGCAATAGGGAGCCATCCCCTTCACCAACAGAGGGTGTGCCTTGTGAGTACTGGTGAGGACGGGTGACCACCAGGGCTTGCCAGGTGTTAGTACTGAGTGTCTCCCCCTGGTGTACAGCAGCGAGGTGCTGGGTTTTCTCCAGGTTTCTCGGGTGTCCTCCCAAATGAAGCTCAAACTCGCATGAATGTTAATGAACAAACATGCCAATGCAGGGCCCTCTTGACAAAGAGCATTCCGACTCAGTGAGGTCTTACCAGATGATTGATATTATCATTCTGCATCAGTGATATCTGGTGAAGCGGTGGCTCATTGATTTGAGCATTACGCTTTGAATTACCGACCACGGCTAACATCAGTGACGAGTTACATCTGAACTGGCTCCCCTTCCCCAACCCACGCTGACCGGCGTGGTGAATTATGGTCAAACAACCTCCCCTCCCCCATGACAGAAGCAACAGTGGATTCATTAAAGCTGTACATTTTATAATTATGTTATTATTCATATCACTTAATGAGGCTTACATTCATATTCGGTAGTTTATGTATTAACCAATTCGCATCTGCATTTACTTTTGTTTTGACATAATGGGATTCTTAGCAACATAGCAATTTTTGTTTGTTTGTTTAAGGTTTACACTATATGCGGTCGGGGGCAGGTGGCGCAGTGGTTAGCGCACTGCGCCTACGTGTGGAGGTCATCCTTTTGGCGACATCAGCGGGCACGTTGATTTGAGCCGGCTAATTCGGGCTGTGACACTCGCCGCCGGCTCGCAATTGTTCATCGCTGCGAATTCAAATACTGCCAGGGACAATAACAACAACAACAAAAACCCCGTTAACGTTGAGGCGCCAGCCAGCCAGCGATCGAGCGAGCCAGCCACGTCTTGGTTGCAGCGCACCGTGAACCCAGAGCAATTATTACGCATTGGCGCAGATAAGGCATTTGACAATGCGTGCAAAATACAGGGTGCCCCCCCCCACCCCCACAACGCACCCACCATACACCACACGCGCGCACGTGGGGCTATTATGCGCGTGGAATTGCCGCGTTTGTAAAGTGCGCGCGTGTCAGCCTCCGACGAACGCCTCTGCGGCTGCTGCAACCATCAGATAGACACGAGGAACTCGCATAGTAATGCATTCTAATAGCACATTACGGTGGGGGGGGGGGGGGGAGGAGGCTATGATATCGTGGAGCATTGTGACAGCTGCATCGCCTGACGCGTGTATTATTACACGAAAGCCTCTTCTTAACTCGCGGGCTATAGAGCCTCGGCGGCCAAATCGCCCTGAATCCGCCCAGGGATAGAGTCTGGATTT